GTCTGGCTCAGAAGGAGAAATGGACAGGAGCTGAGAGAACAATGACGTTTGAGACCGTGGCTGTAACTCAAGAAAGGAAGTGCAGAAGGAAGCCTTGGGAAGCCGCAGTCTGTCCGCGGGCAGAGGCAGGAAGCTTAGCGTATGCAGTTGCTATTAGCGTCACACGGTTGTTGGCAAGTCAAACACAAACCTTAGTCGGACTCAGAGGGTTAATCCGTTTGCATTTTGACTTTATTTATGCCAGTGTTGCATGTTTCCTCAGAGTCAAATCCCCGTGGGGTTGTGCAGTTTGGAGGAAGAGAGGAACACCCTCCATTTTACACTCTGTGCCTGTTTTCTCGTCCAGTCTTGTTGCCGTAAGTTAGGGAGTCCCGGGTTGCAGGGCCCTATTTTATTTGGGCCAAGCCAAGCAGTCATATTTCTTTGTTGCCGTTGCCTTGTTGTTTCCTGCCCCAGCACACCAACGTCCACAATTGTGAGTTGCAGTAAATGTCATCGGAACCGGTGCCAGGCAGCTAAAGCACCGGGAAAGTCTGGGAACCCTCTTCACTAAGCAGGTATGGCTTGGCTGCCCGGACCCAGCGTGGCTGGTTGTTGAGCTAAGCACTAGCTGAAGAAGTAGGTGGATGTAGCCTTTCTTCAGAAGTCTCCCTGTCAAATGGACCAGAGCTGACGCTGGTCTTCAGAGAACCTTCTCAGGAGAAGTACTTCTTGTGACATACCTGTGGGCCTTCCCTGCCCAGGCTCAGGAATATAGTGACGTGCCAAGCAAAGCAAGGCAAACATCGCCCGAGAAAGGCAAAGGAAATCCGAGACGCGGCGTTTTAAAGAAGAAGCTGGAGGAGATAAAGCAGGAAGTGCGGCCCACAGCCTGTTGGCGTGGGGTCTGAAAGGTGGCACATCTGATTGGCATGCAGGAACAGAGAGGTAGCTGTGGCTGCCACAGAAATAAACATCTCTCAGACGGCTCTGGGGTTCAGCTTCCCTGGTGGTAAAACCTTGCGTTCAAAAGAAACCGTCCCTCAAAGCCACCCAGGTGAGTTCTGGTGGACATTTGTTTCATAGGTGCCTGACCTGGTCCAAATGTGTCACCCTGGAGGACGCATCCAATGGTGAACCAAGCCCCAAAGGAGACGCAGGACTCATCCACGTCCCACAGGAGGGATTTTGTGCACAGCCCCAAAAGGAACGTGAGCCGCTAATGAAGGCAAGAGGAGGAGTGAGGGAAACAGGTAGCCGAAATAGCACAGAGAAATGACGTGCTGGTGAGTCAGTACAGAGTTAGGTCTCAGACTGCCTAAGAACTGCATCTTTATTCACCTCGATTCTCCTCTCTTACATTGCCCCATTCCTCCTCCTCCTCCTCCTTTGTCTCCGTCTCCCGCTCTCACCGTCCTCCATTCAGCTTCCCTGCTGCTCCGCACTCAGCCTAGTGTGAGTGGTTCCCTTAGGAGCACGTGGAAAAGAAACAGTTAGAACTTGCGAATGTTGCTGCTTCTGCCATCCCATTCTGTGGTGTTGGCATTGTAAAGGTGTTTGGGCTCGCCACTGCGGCGCCTCCTGCTGTTCGTGCTGGGAATTAGCACAGTCCATGGAGCGCGCCACATTCTGGTTGGTGTCTTGCTTCCTCATTGCTCTACTCTTCAGTCACCATCTTGTGGTGCTCTAGACACACGTCGCTCCCTTGGCACGCAGCATCCGGCAGTCCCCGCCACTCGGCTCTCCCCTCGTCCGCGGTTACCGGCAGGCGCC